CTCATTGAGATTCTGTAAACATGAATGCTGTGAATGTTGAGAATTACATAGTTTTGCTGTCCAGAGTGATGACAAAATATGTATCATTTTAATAATCTTTTTAAAACTATAGTAGAATATATATCACAGAGGCATTGCATTGTAACCATTTTACATGTATGATTCTGGTATATGATTGCATTCACCCTGCTGCATAACCATCCCCACATTCCATTTTCTTTTTTTTCTTTCCACATTCAATTTTCACTTGTTTGTCATCTTCCTAAATAGCAGCTCAGTTCTCTTTAAGTAACAACTCTACATTTTGTCTCCCGCAGCACCTGGTCACCACTAGTAAACATTTGTCTCTTGGATTTGTCTATTTGAGGTATTTCATGTAAGAGATTTCAGTATTTGCCATTTTGTGGCTGACTTATTCGCTTAGCACAATATTTTCCTGCTTCATCTGCATCATAATATGTATTTGGATTTCATTTATCTTTATGGTTGAGTAGTAGTCCGTTGTATCAATAACACCACCTGTTGGCTGGAAGTGGGGCACATAGTCCCGGTCTTCCTTAAGTGTGCACGTGGTGTGGTGCCAGAGAAGTTCCCGCAACCTGAGCACTGTGTAGACAGTGCTCCCAGCATTGCCTTCTTCCTGAGACTCCTTGCACTTCTTCAGCTCAAAGCAAGGTCCAACCCTATTTAAGCTCTCCCGAGATGACCAAGCAGCCAGGCTACGACCTGGAGAAGATTGAGAACAAAGCGGAACCCGCCCTAGCCAAGCTTCCCAATGACCTCTCAGTCCTGCAAGCTTTCAGGAAGGCCCTGGTCCTGGTCATGCAGGTGGAAGAGCAGACCAACAAACAAATCAGCAGCAAGAAATAGCTCTAGTGATGACTACAAATCAATTGGAAAATAATGGATGTGTCCCACAAACTATTTGAAGCCCCCTTGTATATCTTTGCCTGTTCAGTTATTTACTGGTTTAAGCCTTATTGACAGCAATTACAAGAATATGTTTGCAAGCAACCATTCCATCATCCCTACCCTCCACCTGTACTTTCTCCATACTGACCCTAGTAACCCCTAATAAACTTCGATTTCTAAAAAAATAAAATAATACCATCTGTTGTTTATCTATTCGTCCATTGATGGAGACTTCAGTGGTTCCCAACTTTGGGCTATTTTGAACAATACATTTTGGTATTGGTGTATAAGTACCTTCAAGGGGGCTTCGAAAAGTTGGTGGAAAAGTGGAATTAAAAGATAAGGGCATTTTCCGAAGAAGGGAATGGTATCAGCTTCAATGGTGAACACTTGGTTTGCTGAAAGGATCTAGATAACAGTGGAAGCCCAAAATCCATTTGGAGTGTCCACTCATGGATTAAGCCTCAGGTGAATTCCCTGAATTCCCTCAGACCATAGTGGAAGGATTTGAATAGCTTTACTCTTAGCAAGCAATGTAAAGTCGATTATGGCAGATGTAGTTAGGTTAATGTAGTATCTTATCGTTTGATCTCCCTTTTGAGCCATTCTACAATTATTTCAAAGAGCCGAGGTGTTCTGGTGGGTACGCTTTGGGCTGCGATCCACAAAGATCAGCAGATCAAAAACACCAATGGCTCTGTTGGCTTTCTACTCCCATTAACAATTACCATCTTGAAAACTCACAGGAGCAGTTCTGCCCTGTCTGATAGGGTCAGTATGAGTCAGCATCGGCTTGAAGGTACTGAATTTGTTTTGGAATGCAATTTCAGTTTGTTTGTTTTTTAATGAAGGGTAAATGCATGTATTGAGGCCCCTTTGGTCTAGGTGTGGGACTAGCCTTGCTATTGCATAAGAAAATGGATGATGAGGGAGCGGGGAGGGGGGAAAATGAGCTGATACCAAGGGATCAAGTAGAAAGCAAATGTTTTGAATGATGATGGCAACAAATGTGTACAAATGTTCTTGAAGTAATGGATGGATGTGATGTGTGAATTGTGATAAGCGTTGTACCAGGCCCAATAAAATGATTTAAAAAAAAACAAACACTGAATTTCATGTACTGAAAATATTCTTATGACTCAGCTTATAAGTAATCCTCCAAATAAGCAAGTTTTTGATCATTTTTGTTAATATTAAAAATCCTTACATTTTTAACAAAAAAAGAGAAGAAAATGGATGATTGCAGATGCTGTTAGGTTAAAATTTGGTACCTCATCGTTTGATCTCCCTTTGACTCATTTGACTCATTTTAAATTTGTTCTAGTTTTAAATATTTTTTGCTTTTCCATGGAAGTTTTTCCCTCTGTTTACTTTGTTGGTGCTAATTTTTTATTGTTTTGTCTTTTAACGTTTTTCTGCATATGAAATCCAGGATAGGTAAATAAATCTATAGAGATGGTAACCGGATTGATTAATGGTTCCTTGGGTGTATTGCAAGGATGGTTGGGGGAAAATGGGGAACTAATAAGAGTACAAGACGGAAGAAAATGTTTTAAAACTGATTGTGATGATTGTACAATCTTAATATGATTGACCTATTGTATGCTTTGTAAATTATAAGCCAATGTGGTAGTTACATAATCTGCTGTCAACTTGCAAAGGAGTGGAGTCTAACCTGGGAATCAGGTCATAGCCAATGAGGCCTGTGTGGGCATGGACTTCTGCTGTGGATTCTGGGAACTCCTGTCTTCCTTTCTGGAGGCGAGACACACACACACACACACACACTCTCTCTCTCTCTGCTTCGTCTTCCTGCTGACAAGACACATGGAGCTACACGATGTAGAGTAGGTTGAGACTCACAGCGATCTTATGTACAGAGCCCTGTGCTGTCCTAGACCATGCTCATGACGATGGTGCTTTGGAGCCCATTGTTGCAATTGTAGCCACTGAAACACCCATTATTAAAATTTTGCTTTTGATCAGACGTGTTTAGGAGTGAGGTTAAAGAGCTA